TTTACAGTGCGACTATTCATCCCGTGATATCGATGTCGACCAATTTAAGGTAATGACTGTGGTTGCGTATAATTTGCCCTCTACTTTGAAATAGTATCGTTAAAAATACCATCCTTTACTTGTTTTTGACATAATGGTGTTGGAACGTTTTACCCGCACACCCTATAAGCCTCACTATAACTTATGTGCCAGTGCGTGTATATATATATATTATATATATATATATATATATACATTAGTTCAATCTGTAAACTATGGTGCAATAAACATTATTCATTGGCAATAAACATATGCAAAGCTGCAATGCAAATATTATGTGCCTATATGTTTCTGCTGCATAGTTTTCGTTCAATTTGCCACATATTCTAACTCAAATATATTGAGCAAAGGCATTTGAAATTACGCAAATATGATCAATATCCGTGTTACGGTACAATAGTAGGCAAACAGATTACGTATTACAACTAATACTTAACACTGGCATACGATTTTGATTTTCATAGTAAATCTATTTTCAATAGAATTGTTCCCGATAGCATTTAACAATCATCGACAGTGACGCAAGTAAAAGCAACAATTTTCGAAATCAATTCTACGCGCGATGTGGAATTGATTTCGTGAAACCCGCGATGTGGAATTTTTTTCATTAGAATCTCTGATGAAAATTTTTACGGAACAAATGCAACATACCATTTCAATTATTTTTCAATTCATTCATATTTCCAAACTCAGGCAAATGGAATTTGTTTTGATGGTTCAGAAATATTTCAATTTTAATTACATTCCAGTTATTTTTAATTTCTATGAAATAGACATTCTCTTCACTGTTAAAATTTGAAAATGGTTCTTGAAGCTGCGTTGTAATTCCAATGTAGCGCCTGTAGTAGAAACGGTTTCCAGAAAATTAAACTTTGAGATAAAGGGCACATTTTCTTTATTCATATACCAATTGTTGGAGAGCATTTGATTTTTTGTGTTTGGGTTAATTTAGCACTTCTTATTTTTTTAAATTTTCATTATATGTTTAAGAAATCTTTTGCTAGTTGTCTAGAAACTTGTCTATATAGATTTTTTTTTCATTCTTTATTTTATTTACAACTGTCCAGTTAAAGACATTTAGTAAATTGGGGAACTTACAATTTTCAGCCGTAAATGGACATTGTATACTACAGTGACATGTTGGAAAAACAGCTCAGTAGTTGTTTTTCCGTTAGTTATAATATTAACAATATTTTAATGATAATTATGTAAACTTAACTATTTTCTTAATTTCTCATAAATAATAACAAAGATATTTCTATATTTATCAGGAAAGTTGATGACTTAAAGCAAGTGCCGATTTTCTCTTCAATCTACGTCGATAGTTTTCTGTTATTAAGTATTCTATATAGATAAAAACAAAAACGTTTTTTATACAGATATCGATTCATTTTCACGGCATTATATATAATATATATATATATATATATATATATATATATATATATAATTGATTTATTTTTTTATTTGTTTTTTTTTGTTATTACATCCCGTTTATTATAATACCTAACCTAAATTTAGACATAATTTAGTTCAATATTAAAAGGTAAAGCCCCGGCTTTTCTTTTAAAATTCGATGTTATTTATCAAATTAATTACTCAATGTCTTTCTATAAAGGCAGATTGTAATTTATAAGAAAAAATAGAAACATATCTTGTTTATTCTTTTTCACTAGCATGATTACTTTTAAATTATTCTGTTCAATGTGGATTTTGTATTTTTACTATATATTTGCCTGTTTTATCCACTAAAAAGAGAAAATAAGGACTCAAGAACAAAATTTACTTTTTCTTTCTATTATTTGGATGAATATCAGCTCAAACTTTTTCATTTCTATTTTCATATATTTCACCATTTATATTCATTACTAATGTAAAAACCAATTCATTAGAAATATACTTATGTATACATAAAATAATTGTGGTTATTCATTAATTTGTAATGAATCATACGACTACATCAGAATATAATTGCTTTTTCCAATTTAATATTAGTTTCATGATATTCTTTTGCTCAGTTTCTAGGAATTCATCTTATGTGAAGGACATATAAACCTTGGGTATATTTCAAATATATGCACATTTCTAGAATTACTTCTATTTGCTGAGAAAGTTAAATAAACATACTGTAGTTAATATTAAATCTTTTAATCTTATAAGTAATTAGATCTTTAAAATAAATAAGTTAAATTTGTATATATTGACTATCACATTCATCATTTAATACGTTTACTCAACAATTTTCATTGATTTATCCCGGAAATATAAGTTTGAATGTGTCCTGCGAATTTAGGCTCTGATGTCTTTTCAATGACTTGCTTAACACTACTAAATTTTAATGATGTAGTAAAATGCTGCCGCCCGCAAACTCATTAACGTCCATTCCCAATTTCCCATCTTTGTTCAAATGGTCTTTCCACAACTTATTCCGCGCACTCATGAACAAGATCATAAAGCTGCGTCATTCGCAAAAATGCCATCATTATGCTGCGTGTCTTTACTAGGTCTACTTTCCAAAGCAAAAAATACTTGATGGAATTCCCTTTTCCCTAAAGGTTTTATCGAAACCAACATCTTATAGACATCGCTGTACTTGTTTTTGCTTTTAGTCCATAAAAAACGTAATTCGATGACTCATATTATTGATAGGTTATTTAAAAATGAACTTTTGTGTTGATCTGTAACAGTCTTATGTATATAATTTTAAATTAAATGAGATTGCAATAATTGAAATTGAGATTGAGATTCCAATTTATATTTTTAACCAAAGTGTATGCTATAGAAATCGTAAAAAACGAAAATTAAATTTTATTATCAAAAATGATCATTGCGCATATAAAAATCAAATTATCAGCTATTTTAAAGATTTTCAGTAATAAGTACTAATTGAAGGTTTCACGCTAAAAATTTTAATTTTCAAAGTTCAATTTAGAAAATTTTAAATTTCTGTTTTCAAATTTGTTGCAAAAAGTCATTTTTTATCTTATTTTATCTCATAAGGTCCTCGAATGCCTTTATTTTATCCCGACACAGTCAAGTTAAATTTTAATCATGTTCGTAGAATACGCTCGTTGCCTTGATACTTGACTGTACTGATAATAATCAATTTCAAAATAGTTAAAACAATTAGTATGACTTTCATCAATTTTCATTCATTATTGGTTGTTTTTATTCATCAAATGTCTAATTGTAATTTCCCAATTTGCCTTAAGGCATATAAAACCATGCATCACTAGTTATATTTTAAAGTTTAAATAAGATTTTGTATTTAGTTTTTAATTATAATATTTATTGATTCGTCATTTATAATTATTATAATTATAATTATATTATTATAATTATTCATTCATTAAAACGTCATTTAAAATTCGAATATTTTAAATAAAATTACAATTTTGAACAAGAAATGTATCAGCACTAAATTTTACTCAATCCATCTTCTCAAGCAAATTGAGTAAATTTTACTTACTCAGTATCTTTTTTAACATTTAATTTTGAAATATAATTTAAATCAAAAATATTGGAACTTTTCCAATGTGTTCCACTAAATTGATTTTAACAATATTTGCAATACTAGAAGAAAAAACAATAGTCTTTGAACAAAGCTAATGAGAAAGTGGTTCAACTAAATGCATTACTCGAGCACATCAGTTGAAAAATTATTTTATCATTTTTAGCTAATAATAATAAGTGCTTATTTGTAATAATATATATATATATATATATATATATATATATATTTTTTTAATTACAATATTTATTACAACAGTTAAATAATTAACATCTAGCAATGATGATAATTAATAACATAAATTTAAATAAATAAGAGTGCAAAGGATAGAATTTACATTAAAATAATATCCGTAGTATGATGATTTAATATAAAATAAAAGCAAATAATAATAAAAATAATATAAATAAAATTTCTGAATAATAAAATAATACTAGAAAAACAATAGAATATAACAAAATAACAATATTATAAATAATAAGATAATAATAATAATAATAATAATAATATTAATGTTAGTGTTTACAAATGGCTATTTATGAGATCATTGGGAATTTTTCGTTTTAGCCTGGTTGGGCGCGATCTGAGAATACTTTTTGTGCCAAGTAAGTTGGATGTTCGTCAATTCTTTTTTTATAGTTGTCTGTTTTTTTTGTTGAATTACTTCATTTACTGTCATCATGTTGCTGTCCTGGTGAATCAACCAGCTGGGAACGTACCTGAGTGCGTTCAGTGCCTGCCGTATGATCTTGTTCTGCACTCGCTGAATAATCTGCATATTGTTTTTTTTGACGGTGCCCCATAGTTGAATCCCATAAGACCACACTGGTTTGAAAATACATTTGTAAATAATTAGTTTGTTGTTTGTCGACAGTTCGGATCGTCATAAATGATTGTAATTTATTGTTCTACATAATATGGTTTAGGCTAATATGAGTAGAATCACGCGTTTTTTTCTATAAATTTTATGGTGACATCAAAAAGTGAGTTTGAAAGAAGAGGCTACTTTGGCATATTTTCAATGATATCTCGGCCATAAGATGAGGTACAAAGATGAAAATTGGTATATTGCATTAAGGCAAACCTTTAAAATAGTGTAAAAATCATTTGAATACCAAAGAGGGCCGATTTTCTGTGCCAATGCGCCCATACCAGTATTTGAATTATTGTTTATATTACCAGTATTTGAATTATTGCTTTTGTTTAATCTTTTCAACAAGGCATTTGTTAATGCTATCCAGAACATACTACCATTTGCTATCATTAGCAATAATTATTAATAAAACATAGAAATACTTAAATTCTGATTCTCAACAGGTACCTATAAGCTAATTAGTATTACTTTATATACTTGTAAAATACATAATTAATTAGTAAATTACCTGAACGTGTTATGAGTCGCCGTATTATCATTATACCTTATCTTAACCGTCTTGTCTTTCCTCAGGGGCTGTGGGCGGTGACGGCGGTGACGATGGCGACGATAAGGAGAAGGAGGAGGAGGCCGAGCGCGAGCGACAAGAAGCGATCCGCGAGGCCGAGGAACGGCGCAAAGAGAAGCATCGTAAGATGGAAGAAGAACGCGAGAAGATGCGCCAAGAAATCAGAGACAAGGTAAGTTACTCAGGTGGTGATAGATAGGAAGATAGAGTTATTATTATGCACTTTGATATACATGGTTTTATATGTTCTCTATCTGCATTGCATTTATTTTGCTATTATTAAGTTGACCATACGTCCCGGATTGGCCGGGACTGACCCGGATTTCACTTCTTGTCCTGGATTTGTCTAAAAGCAATATTTGTCTAAAAGTATAGGTTTACATTGAGCCATCACAATTACTTGATAATAAAATTACAACTTTCAAATCAAATATTTCAAAATCAATATCATATCATTATGCACATTGATATATATGGCTTTATATGTGTTTTATCCAAAGTACCAATATCAATATTGCTTAACATCACAGCATTTATTTTGCTATTATTAAGGTGACCACACGTCCCGGGTTGGCCGGGACAGTCCCGGAATTCCACCTCTTGTTCTGAGTTTTTCTAAAAGCAATATTTGTCCCGGATTTAGATATTTGTTTCGGAATGTCCTGGGTTTTCTAGAAGTATAGTTTTAGATTGTTTTTCCGCAATTACTTGGTAATAAAATTACAACTTTCCATCTAATATCTCAAAATGATATATAAAACGAGTGTGCTTATATGAAACAATACGTTATGAATGAGAAAATTGGCGATAACAAAGTCGGGTTAAAATTAAAGTGACCATACGTCCCGGTTTGGCCGGGATATTCCCGAATTTTAACCTTGTGTCCCGGGTTATTTCAAATGTAATATTTGTTCCTGATTTAGATCTTTTGTCCCGGATTGTCCTGATTTTTTGAAAATTAATAGGTAAATTAACAAAAGTTATGAAAACAAATGAACAAGTACTATTTTTCCAAATTAATTATGAAAAAAGTGATATAGAATTTTATACAAGACTTAAAAGCGAGAGAAATATAAAATGAAGATCGAAAAATATAAGATATAATATCATATCATAGATAAAAAAGTATTACATATAATCGAATAATAAAGTTCTTACTAAGAGTCCGCAACTCTGATAAAAAAATATTCATATAAAAAACTACTTTTTTATTGTATCCTTAAAAATAGCATATGCTATTTTAAACCCCCCCCCCTCCACCCGTCCCAGGTTAGCATATCTAAATATTGCAGTCCTGGTTTTGAATTTTGAACATAAATTTTTAATTTTATTTTAACCTTCGGACTATCTGACACATGTTCTAATTTTTAATAAGTTAATTATAAAGAAAATTAAACAGAATTTATGCAATGTTTAAAGGCAAAAAACGTATATATCGAAAAATAATAGATATAATAATACAACATATAGTGAAATAATAAAGTTCTTACTAAAAGTCAGTACATAGTTCTTATTTAAACTAGTTAAAAGTGACATTTTATCTTAAGGCAAGTTGCAAAAACTTACAGTTTGATTATTGCAAGAAAATAAACAAAAAAAATTTACCAAAAACTCTTTAAGTCGGAAGCTTTTTAGGGCACTCTTGTACTGCTTCATATTTAACTAATTGCTTATTATATAGTTAACTCAAATATAATAATATATACTCAATTATTTACAATGTTACTGAAAATATCAAGCACAATTCACACATAAATAAATAATAATTTAATAAATGTTTAATTTATCTTAGGTTTTATTTAATTTTATTCAATTACTCTTATACAAATAAAACTATCAGTTACACTTTTAATTATAAGGATTTCAAATACAACAATTTTAAATCTCTTTTATAAGATAACTCCATTAAATATCTTTTAGAAGCTCTGCGCAAGCTTTCTTTCACTCAAAAATGTGTTTACATCTTTTTATTTTACCATGAACTTTTTATAACATAATACAAACTATTACAAACTTTAAACTTTTTATTGCATTTTAACCACATTACTTTCTGGATATTGTATCTCTATGATAAATTAAGTTTCACTTAAACATTTCTCAAGTAAAGTTATTTTGTTCTTGAACATACACTAGCTGCCTCGATCTAGTCTTTCCAGGGTGGGTATACTTTTTTATAGAAGATTTATTATTTGTTTTCATGTATTGGGTAAATTATAAAATATTTATCTTTTTAGCTATGGATGGAAATTTTTATAGGTTTATATTATTATTATTATTTTCAATTGAACCATTTTCGTTATATATATATATACGAGGTCTGTTCAAAAAGTACCCGGAATTTTCGTTTTTTTCAAAAAAATATTTATTTATTCATCTACATTAATGTGGTCCCCTTCAAAGTAGTCCCCCCCAGATATAATACACTTATGCCAGCGTTTTTTCCAATTTTCGAAGCACCCTTGATATTCACTTTTTGATATGTCCTTGAGCACTCTCAGCGATTTTCTTCAATCGAGGAAAACCGCCGTCCTTTCATGGGTCTCTTCAACTTTGGGAATAGGAAAAAGTCACACGGAGCCATATCTGGTGAATTTTTGCACTTTGCAACACTTTATTTCATTTTTTACGCAAAATTTAATACAAATTCTTTGACTTTTCAATTCTTCCATTGTAAAAATCGCCGAGCTCAGAAAAACACGTCGAACCTTAGCGACTACCACAGACAAAGTAAACAGTGAATATAGCTGAAAATTTCATCATACTTTAGGGGCATGTATACCAACACAATAAAAAAAAAAATTTGACAATCAGACACTCCAGACCCGCGAAATTTAATTATTAACTTCCCGTAGGGTAAGTTATTGTAATGGGCCGAAAATCGGAATTGAAAATTTTAACATTTCTCGACGTTTTGAAGGTTTTTGAACGTTTTGGCATACCTCAGAAAAAATGGATGTGTGTGTGTGTGTGTGTGTGTGTGTGTGTGTGTGTGTGTATGTATGTATGGATACAAATTTCCAGTCACGTTTTAGGGCGCACGGATCAACCGATTTGAATGGTTCAAAAAACATTCGATTCCTATTGATAGGGAAAAGAGCTGATTAGTTTTTGGCAAAGGCAGGTCCAGCCGTTTCGGAGATACGGAGCAAAGAGTGCAGAAAATAGAAATCGAATTTTTGAGAGAACGGAGTATCTGATTTGAATGATCTAAAAAGCATTCAATTAGTAATGATTGGGAGAAGTGCTTATTAGTTTTTGGCAAAGGCAGGCCCAGCCATTTCGAAGATATGGAGCTAAATATGTAAAAAATGGCAGTTTTTGAGAGAACTAAGCGTCCGATTTAAATGATTCAAAGAACTTTCTGCTTGTCTTAACAAAATAATTGATTTTGGAAAAAAAAATTTTGTTCAATTTTTTTTTTTTTTTTTTTTTTTTTTAGTTTTATCAAAAATATTTCAGATTTTATTTTTAATTCTGGCTATAGTTCTAATATACTTTACAAATATTTTCAACTCTGCAATTCAGTTTATATAATTCTCATAAATATTAGACAATGTTACAATATTTATAATAATCTATTTGAAAACATTCAGTATTCCTCGAACATTTCGGTACGGGAAGTTCCAGCAATTTGCCTTAAGGCACGATGCCATAAATGCCTCAAGACAGAATTCCACTTACAGCTAGTTATATTTATATTTATATTAACTTCCCGTAGGGTAAGTTATTGTAATGGGCCGAAAATCGGAATTGAAAATTTTAACATTTCTCGACGTTTTGAAGGTTTTTGAACGTTTTGGCATACCTCAGAAAAAATGGATGTGTGTGTGTGTGTGTGTGTGTGTGTGTGTGTGTGTGTGTGTATGTATGTATGGATACAAATTTCCAGTCACGTTTTAGGGCGCACGGATCAACCGATTTGAATGGTTCAAAAAACATTCGATTCCTATTGATAGGGAAAAGAGCTGATTAGTTTTTGGCAAAGGCAGGTCCAGCCGTTTCGGAGATACGGAGCAAAGAGTGCAGAAAATAGAAATCGAATTTTTGAGAGAACGGAGTATCTGATTTGAATGATCTAAAAAGCATTCAATTAGTAATGATTGGGAGAAGTGCTTATTAGTTTTTGGCAAAGGCAGGCCCAGCCATTTCGAAGATATGGAGCTAAATATGTAAAAAATGGCAGTTTTTGAGAGAACTAAGCGTCCGATTTAAATGATTCAAAGAACTTTCTGCTTGTCTTAACAAAATAATTGATTTTGGAAAAAAAAATTTTGTTCAATTTTTTTTTTTTTTTTTTTTTTTTTTTTTTTTTTAGTTTTATCAAAATTATTTCAGATTTTATTTTTAATTCTGGCTATAGTTCTAATATACTTTACAAATATTTTCAACTCTGCAATTCAGTTTATATAATTCTCATAAATATTAGACAATGTTACAATATTTATAATAATCTATTTGAAAACATTCAGTATTCCTCGAACATTTCGGTACGGGAAGTTCCAGCAATTTGCCTTAAGGCACGATGCCATAAATGCCTCAAGACAGAATTCCACTTACAGCTAGTTATATTTATATTTATATTAACTTCCCGTAGGGTAAGTTATTGTAATGGGCCGAAAATCGGAATTGAAAATTTTAACATTTCTCGACGTTTTGAAGGTTTTTGAACGTTTTGGCATACCTCAGAAAAAATGGATGTGTGTGTGTGTGTGTGTGTGTGTGTGTGTGTGTGTGTATGTATGTATGGATACAAATTTCCAGTCACGTTTTAGGGCGCACGGATCAACCGATTTGAATGGTTCAAAAAACATTCGATTCCTATTGATAGGGAAAAGAGCTGATTAGTTTTTGGCAAAGGCAGGCCCAGCCATTTCGAAGATATGGAGCTAAATATGTAAAAAATGGCAGTTTTTGAGAAAACTAAGCGTCCGATTTAAATGATTCAAAGAACTTTCTGCTTGTCTTAACAAAATAATTGATTTTGGAAAAAAAAATTTTGTTCAATTTTTTTTTTTTTTTTTTTTTTTTTTTTTTTTTAGTTTTATCAAAAATATTTCAGATTTTATTTTTAATTCTGGCTATAGTTCTAATATACTTTACAAATATTTTCAACTCTGCAATTCAGTTTATATAATTCTCATAAATATTAGACAATGTTACAATATTTATAATAATCTATTTGAAAACATTCAGTATTCC